AAACAAAGGAGGAGGCTGCAATGCTTGGTAAGAAATGTACACATTATCCTGCCCATGTAATTGTAACCCCTCTGTACAGTATGTTCACAAATAAAATTAAATTAAATTAAAAAAAAAACAAACCTAACTGTGCATGCATGATCCTTTATGCATAAATACCATGCACATCTCTTGAGTATACAGTTTTATGAGTTTAAAATTTTATGTAAAGATACCTTAAAAAATCTTAATCCTTTTAATGCCATAAAATTAGTTATATTCCAAAGAAGTATACACGTACATTTTGTTTGCCTTGCATAGGATCGATTTTCATGGATTCAAGGTCACGGCCTTCCCTCCCAGGTTCCCGTTTGCTTCCAAAGGGGTAACAGGAACAGAGCTATGTGGGTGTCTTGAGGAAAGAGGCCAGCACTGGGTTGATCTCATCTTCCTGGTGACTGCTGCCCGCCCCCCCCCCACACCGGGGGGCTGCCTAGGGAGGAAGAGCAGGGGAAAAGATGTTCTACAAGAGCCTGTTGGAACTAAGTCTGGCTTTCTCTTCACCATTTTCAAGTATCATGTTCAGGAGCATGAAGTCCATTCCCATCCAGTGAACATATAGGAAGCTTTAGTCCCTTCTCTTCCTCCACAAGATTTTAACAATTGGCATAATAGTGTATCATCCTCTGTACTTTACATGACATTCACACTGAAAATACATTGAGAACAATGAGACATTGATCAAATGGCACTCATAGATCATAATTATGAATGCAAATTCATTTTTCTCTCTGGCTGTTCCTCTAAACCCAATGAGGAGTCTCTTGTTCCTTGACCGGGATCAAATTTGAACAGGCTTAATTACTTCACTTCATCACATATATAATAGTTCTATAGATGCTTTTAATGTCACAAACACAGGATCACATGATAAACTCCCTGTACCCAAAAAGTAGTATGTAGAGCGAGCCAAAATTAACATGCAGTTCCTTCCATTCAGAGTGTGAAAATCTTTCCTACACTCTACTAAAAATATAGTTACAGCAACAGAAATAAATATGAGGAAATGAGCAACAGATGAACGTGGCTGTCGCTGGTCTCCTGAGATGGCTCTCCACCCAGGGGGAAGGATTTAGAAGTTTGTTCATTTTAATTACTATATAGAATTTCACGTGCTTGAACATTAGTCATCACATTTGAAGAATAAACCACTTTATGCACTCTCTAGTATTTTACTCCTTTGGACAATCGGGGTGGTGAACATATTTGTATATAGCTCAAGTGCCAATGTGCTGGATTTTTTTCTGTAGTTTATCACGGAATAAATTCCTGGTCAGAGGGGATCTTCAGTATTGAAAGATGTTTTAAATTGCTGGAACCCGTGTTGTTCCTTAACAAGTGGGACACCAAACAAACCTATTGCTAAGCAGATGGCAATGAAATTTTGTGACATTGCTGCGTTAATTTGCATGTCGTTGATTGGTAGCAAGAATAATGGCCTTTTCACATTATTTTCAAGTGTATTATGAGACTTCTTTCATTTTATTAGAATGCTTATGCTTTTCTAAAAGCATATGCCTGTGGCATATTTAACATTCTGCTTTTTCATCTTTATTGGTATGTACATTGGAAATATCACCCAATCCCTAGCTTTTTTCCCCACTGGATTCTTGAGGAATGTGTATGTTTGCATTTGTTTTGTGGACATTGAATATAATCCTTTCCTTAATTTACATTTCATCAAAAAGTGCAACTTCATGATAAGGTCCTAAAAAATAGTCTTCTCTGTGTTCTTTTTACATTTAGGCTATGACTCAACCCAAGTTTGGTTTTCTTTTAAATAATCTTTCACCTCAGCAGCATTTATTGTAGAGCCAATAGATGATTTCTCTAGAGAGTCAGCCTTTGCTAAAGCATAGTTTTTAATTTGTTTCTTTTAGAGACTTAAGTTCAGTATATTTTTCTTCTTCTTATCAGTCATGGGGCCCGAACTGAGGGCCTTGGTGCTGTCCTGAGGTTTTTTTTTGCTCAAGGCAAGTGCCCTACCATTTGAGCCCTAGCTCTACTTCTGGGCTTTTTCAAGTGCTTAATTAGAGATAAGCATCTCACAGACTTCCCTGCCTTGGCTAGCTTTGAACTGCAATCCTCAGATCTCTGCCTCCTAAGTAGCTAGGATGACAGATGTGAACCACTGGCACTTGGCTTGGAACTGTTTAAGGGTGAGAATCAGCAGGAGGGAAAAGGGAGAAGAGGGTAGAGGTAAATATAATTGAAGTACTTAATATACATATATATGAAAGTGGAATAGTGCAATCAGTGAAAGGCCCTGAGTTCAAGCCTCAGTACATACATACATATATATATATATATATATATATATATATATATATATATATATGCAAACACATATACATAGTTTGTACACACAGATGGAAAATGAAACAATAGTTATGGTATTATGTTGAACAGGGAATTGGGAGGAAATAGGCAGATATAGATCATAAGATACAAATTAGACTATATATAGATTGAACAAATGACCTACACTACAAGATGAGCACTATAGTTAGTAAAGTTGGACTGTGTTTGGTATTAGAGTTAAATAAGTCGGTTTTTAACTCCTCTAATCAAAAAGGTTAGATGTGAAAGACAGGCAATCATGTAAGATGATAGATAAACTCATTTGCTTCCTTACAGTAACAGAATCCCTGGTCATTTTGTGAACCTCAAATATACAACATTTAATCTAAGCCATAAATTCAGTAAAAATAATAATAATAAAATATAAAATATAAAGAAAGGAAGTCAGCTCTAACCACCTCTATCAGGCTGGTAACAGAAGGAGCCTGGGTACCACTAGCTAGCTCTCCCATGGCTATAGGGACCCATGGTCTCTGATGATCAATTAGCCATTGCTTTCAATGAAAAGATCCAATGAAGCCTGAAATGGATGTGAGTTTCCATGGAGATGCAATTTGCCTTCCACAAGAGAGGTTTTGTGGAAAAAAAAAAACATGCATGGTCATGTGTACACAGCCTCTTAAAACTGCTCAAATGTGAGATATGCTCCCATTAATATAATCGAGTGGCTGTATTTTCGGCAAGACATATAAAGGAAGAACACAGTAACTACAAAACTATTTTATTAAATTCTGTCTTGTGTGTTCAAAGTAAGCCTTCCTTCTATTAAGTTATTCATACCCTTAAATTATTTAGGTCTTGCTATACAAGGGTACAGGGAACTAACTAGATTTGTTTCATGGTGAGTACCTGGAGTTAGTAAATATAAAAATAAGGATTTTCAGGCAGTTATGCACTGTTTAGTCTCTGAGTAACTTGAAGCAAGAAAGCACACACACAAATATCTAGCTTTCAATATCTTGATAAATAAAACCAATGAGACTTCTCATTTTTATAGAAATTTAGTGTAACAACATGGCTTATTGTATAACACAGTGCTTCACCTATAAGAGTTCAAAAAAATGAAACTATTATTGTAGATGGTATGGTTTCTGACCAAAGAATAAATAGCTCAGAAAAGTCTAGAACCCTAGATAGAATCACCAAAGCAAAGCTGTGAAAGAATTCACTCTTAGGAAATGGAGACTGGAGAGATGATATGGTAGGGATTCCAATCAGGATTTCAGAGGCCTAGATCTCACATCCCGAACATCTGGTATGTGCCTTTGGCTAAGTGGATTAAACTATTTGGAACCTAAGTCTTGTCATGAGTGAGGAGACACTAACAGAACTAACTCTTGCAGTGCTGTTACGTGATTAATGACCATTTTTACACAGCAAGTTTTTAAAATGTTAAACAACTGAGAGATTGTTACTGAAATAAAGACGATTCACTAAACATGGAGTGTAAGTTATAAACAAATACACCTGCAGTTTGGAAGCAGTATTTTCCAGGCCCCTGCTCTTGGCCTGGGCTGGCCTAGGACTGTGATACTCCTACCTATGTCTTCCTCATAGCCGGGGTGAAAGGTGCCAAACACCACACCTAGATATTTTTTCACACGAAACCACTGTTTAATGGAATGAAATGATATGGGTTGACTTTCCAAAAGCCCCTGTCATCACTCTGCTCCAAGGATTCTTGAGAGCAATTGTTCTCTATCTCTCTATTTTTCTCTCACGCTCTCCTCTGCCCCTTCTACCTCCCTCCTTCTCCATCTTGCTTCCTCTTTCACACACACACACATACACACACACACACACATAGATATATATATATATTTCTTGCTATGCTTCTTTATTTCTTTCTCTACTTCTCTATATATTTATCTCCTCCTCCTCATTATTAGTCATTCAGGTCTATTGCTCCTTCCTGCATCACTTCCACTTGGCTCATTATTTCTATGCCAGTTTCTCCTCTATTATCATTCATGGGAAACATCTTCTTTGTGAAACCAAGCAGCAAGCCTGAGACTGTGCTGCCATTGCTGATGCAATGCCAATGCCTCCCCAATACTTTTGCTTTTTCCTTTACTTAGGTAAGTTGCACTCATATCTGAAACTCAAAATACTTCATAAGGAATCTCTGATTACTACCTCCTTATGACTCCAGTATCATCAAAGGCTTCTGACTGGAAGAGGCTTTAAAAACAAGCTCTCATCTGTGGAGGGACCCGGCTAGAGTCAGAGTATTTCTCAACCCAAATCCATGGCTTTTGTTATGCCATAATCTACCTGGCCACACACTGGCAATCTGGAGATGCATTCTGATTCGGAATTAAATTCCTCCCTGACTCTCAGGCCTGTCCAGAACCCAAGTCCTGCTTTCTGCTAGTGGACAGGATCCCAAGTGTCTTCAACCCCAGCATTGTGGTATAGATCAGCACTCGTTCTCTGTCGAACACAGACACTGAACAAAATATCCAAACTCCTGACATGGAAGGCACTAACAAACCAAAGGCCTTCCAAGGCTCATTGTCTACTAACCTACTGCCTGGCAAGGACAGGATATGTTTTGTAACCTGAGAACTACTGCAGAAGAATTGTCTTGGTCTTCCCTTCTACTCTGAGTCTCTTCCACCCCCTAGTATCTTTTTCAGAACCCCCTTCACATCTTTGTTCCTTAGGGTATAAATCAGAGGATTGAGCATGGGAGTAATGATGGTATAGAAAAGGGCAACAAACTTCCCCTTGCTCTCACAATAGCTGCCCTGAGGCTGGAGGTATGTGTAGATACCTGCACCATAAAATAGAGAAACCACCACAAGGTGCGACCCGCAAGTCCCCAAAGCCTTTCTGCATCCTGCCAAGGACTTGGACTTCAGCACGGCCCTGCCAATGTGTACATAGGAGCCTAGAATTAGCGTTACAGGAAAGATCAAGATCACCACCCGGGCCGCAAACATCTTGGCCTCTGTTCCTCCGGTGTCCTCACAAGCCAGCTTCAGGAGGACAGGCATCTCACAGAAGAAGTGGTTCAGTTGGCGGCCACAGAGTGGCATGGTCATCATGAGGCCTGTCTGAATCACAGAGTTCATGAAGCCCCCCACCCAGGAAGCAATGGCCAATGACAGGCAGAGGACGGGGTGCATGATGGTCGTGTAGTGGAGCGGACGGCACATGGCAGCGTAACGGTCAAAGGCCATCACCACCAAAAGCACACTCTCCGTGGAGGCCAGGCCAAGGAAAAGGAACAGCTGGGCCACACAACCGCCATAGCTGATGGTCCTGTTGTGTCCGTGGAGGTTGATGAGAAGCTGAGGCACGATGCTCGTGGTGTAGCAGAGATCCAGGAAGGAGAGATGGCAGAGGAAGAAGTACATGGGTGTCTGTAGTCGAGGGTCCAGTTGTGAAAGAACAATGATGGTGATGTTGCCAAAGAGAGTTAAGGTGTAGAAAATTGAAATGAAGATAGAAAGGATGAGTTCCAGCCGAGGCCAATCTGAGAAGCCCACCAAAATGAAGTCCCCACCCAAACTGGTGTTGAATCTTCCCATACCTTTTCAGCTGTAGAAGTAGAAGACAATTTGGCGCCTTTGATGAAGAACATGAGTTAAAACGTTACTTCCTGACAATCCCTAAATATTCAAACGCACGTTCCTTATTTCCTATTTTGCTATTCAGCTCCATTCTGTCTGATGCTCTTGATCTTATCTCTACTCTTCTCTAGACTGGAAAAGACTGGATCAAGAATGATGTCATTTTTGTTGAACCATAACCTTATTTTGGTATATTTAAGACTTTTTTCCAGGTCCCTCAATCCAATGTATCTGATCTTTCTGTGTCTGAAAGTGTGGGTGATGGGCTTCCTCCTTGCATTGAGATGAGGAGCTAACCCAGGAATGCAGGAGCTGCTTTGAAAATTCAAAGTGTAGCATGGAACATGTTTTGTTCCCTGTTGTTCTCTTGTATTCTTTATTCTAGTTCATAGAGTGTTTTGAGATCGAGACCCAGGACTAACTAGACGGAGGCCACAAGTTTATCTGTGGTTCTCATCTGTCATTTTCCAATCCTGGGTCCCTGCTCATGACCAGAAGGCAACTCATTCTTCTTTTCAGTGAAGTCCACTAAACCCGAAGGTCATCGTTAATGGAGGATGGAATCATCCAGCCACTTAGATTCCATCTTTGATGATCTTGTGGAAAAGATGAGAGACGATGTGAGCGATACAATGAAGTGTTACTTTGCATGTGGGTTAGCCAGTGGGCAAAGCTATCTTTAAATGGCCTCTGTGGTAGAATGTGGTAGCTTAGAGTTCATACCAAGTGACTACTCATGAACAATATCACTGATATTGTTATTCTAGAATCTTTACCGGGAATATTCTGGAATGTTTACCTCTGTGAGCCTCAGCTTACTTACTGTGGAACAAGAAAAATAACACTTCACGGGATCTTAATTGAGGTTGAATAACGTAATATATTCTGTAGGTTTACAATAATAGGTTCACAGCCTCTCCTTAATGCACTCAATCACGGTTTACCCAGCCTACCATAATAGTATAAGCCAGTATCCTGTCCTAGCCCACAATTTCTTAGTGTGATCTTCAAGGATCTTGTGTCACATGCTTAGGGATAACCCACCAACATTTTCTATCATAAGACCGGAAAACAATAGCTGGAGTCTGTAGTCTGCTTATTTAACAGCCAAAGGCTACATTAGCAAATCATTTAACTCTGACTCTACATTGAGAATATGGTCTCTTGCTATTGACCTTCTTGTTGTCTACTGCTCCAAGAATTCTTCCTTGATGTATCTTCAGCATCTCTGACCATGCCTCTCTTCTTTGTCTCCAGGTCTTGATAGATCCTACTTTGTGTATTATTGCCTTGGCATTACAGGATTTGAGTTTGGGCTGGGACTTCAAATTCATAGTAAGCCAGCCTTCCGACTTAGTGAGAAAACCATGTGTAATGAGTTCCTTAAATCTGTGTGGTTGGTGAGTGAGAGGATGTTTCTGTGACGTTCTGTGTAGGCATGAATGGTGGGAGGAGTGGTGGAGAGACTTGAATATTGATAAAATATCTTCTTGCATGAGGTGAACATTTCAGCATTCAAACCAGGCACCAAATACAATGAACCCAGGACTAACGATTTCATGGACTACTTCTTGCTGTCTGGATTTTTAACTGCCCATCAGCCTGCACTCAACTCTTGAGTTGCACAAAAGGTATACCCGCACTGCCTCCTTCATTTCTGCAGGAATCAGAACTCATATTCAGTGTACACTATGTGAAAACTCATGGAATGGGGAAAGTAGGGAGGAAAAAATGGAAGGGAAGACATTGCGCAAGATGCATTGTACTCATAACCTGACTTCTGTGATTGAAACTCCTTCAGACAACTACTTAACTTAAAAAGTAAGTGGTGTGAGATTCAGTTGAGACTGCTGGCATCTACCACTGACCAAGGAAGACTCTTACCATTTGTTCCTGACGTCATCTGCGGAATAGAAGTTAGAGATGATAGCTGTAGTCCAGAGGTACTTGTAATAAGTTATAGTTCCCTCCATTCATCAAGGGAGCTGCTGAGCCCAAGAACCCAGGAGAACAGAGCCTCCTCCTCACTGAGCTCACACTGGCTCACCCTCACCGAGACAGGAAAGGAGCTACCGGACCATCAAAACCATCTCCTGACCCTAAGGCCGAGCACACCAATTCTGCCCTCAGGGCATTGCCAAGGCCTCTTTAAGACCAGTGAGGGGAGACTTGTTTACCAAGCCTGGCCCTGGAGACCTCTAGCCCCAGTGTGGCAATTAAAATCACCTGAGAGCTTCCCACGATCCGCCATGAAATCCTCAGTCTCTCTATTCCCTTTCCACGGCTCAAACCATGGCAAACGTCTCTGTAGCATTCTCAAAACCTACCTTCTTTCATTGTTTCATAGAACTGTGCGTTCTGAGATTTCCCCCACTTCTCCACTTTTTCCCCAATCCCACTAATCCTTCATTCTTCTGACCAAATGCCTCATCTCACCTGAAGCCAATCCTGTTCACCACACCTGAACACTTTTCACACTGGCCTCTTCATATATTTTTTGTTTTGTTTCTGTTTTTGTTTTTTTTATTTTTAATAAGTTTTTTTATTTTTTTATTTTTAATAAGTTTTTTATTGTGAAAATACCATACAGAGGGGTTACAATGACATGAGCAAGGTAATGAGTACATTTCTTATCAAGCATTGTTGCCTCCTCCTTTGTTTTCCCCTACCATCCCTGCCCTCCCATCTCCACAGCTACACTCCCCACCCCTCACCCCCGTACCCCACTCCACCCTTATCCCACCAAAGTTGTAAAGTTCGTTTTTCTTTTTTTTTTGGGGGGGGGGGGTCCGGTCGTGGGGCCTGAACTCTGGGCCTGGGCGCTGTCCCTCAGCTCTTCAGCTCAAGCCTAGTGCTCTACCACTTGAGCCACAGCGCCACTTCCCGCTTTTTTCTTTTTGCTTATGTGGTGCTGAGGAATCGAACCCAGGGCCTCACGCATGCAAGGCAAGCGCTCTACCACTGAGCCACCTTCCCAGCCCCCGTTTTTCGACATAGCATCTTGTACATCTCATTGTATATTTGTTATGCAATCTCTTAAATATTTACTTCCTTGACAAAAAAAATGGTGGATGTCTTCTAATTCACTCCCACCCAACATTATACCAAATGAATGTTAAGCAATGATCACTGTTCTAACACAATGGGAAATAAAACAGTCAAAAATTATCCCTATCCACTCATGGAGAAAATAGCTCTGCTGTTACTGTATTTATGGCCTTGAAGAAGATTTTCCTTGAGATGATTGAGCCCCAGTAATATGGTGTGAATGTGACTATTCCTGCCACTGCTTATTAATGACATGATGTATGTGAAGTGTTGATGGGTGGTAGACATTAACTCAGTGGTATCAATATCACTCTTAATACACTGTGTTCATTCCATACCTTTTCTTGACCTGAAAACAAATGCAGAAGATGCATTCTCTGGCTCCAAAGAATTCCTTATTTTAACATGAGACAGACTTCACTTGAAATAATTGCTTGGATCTGATTCTGGTGGTTCTCTTCCATTTTCCTGTCTCATCTTCTATCCTCATGCTCTTACTTTTGTCTTTATTATCACAGATTTACAACAACTGAGTCATTTATAGTCCAAGTCTCCACACTGCTTTTTCCTTATTGAGAATTCTCTTTACTCTTTTGAGCTCCTTGTTTGCTCAGAATAGTAGGAACTAATAAAGCTCTATCAAAGATCTTTGATTGGATTTTTTTCTTTTAGAGTTACATTGGTGCACAATTAGAATTTCTTTAGGGAAAATAGGATTTCTTACAAAATAGAATCGTCCAAAGATCTTCCACATATATATATATATATATAATCTTTGGTTGTTTCCTCATGTACCTCAAACTGTTTTGTCATTTTCTCCATGGAGATCATGTTAATTTTTAAAAAATAAAATGTGTGCTTGTATATGTCTGTGTGCTGATACTGGGGCTTGAACTCAAGGCCTGGGCATTGTCCCTGAGCTTTTAGTGTTCAACCATTTGTGCTATAGCTCCACTTCCTGCTTTTTGGTGGCAACTTGGACATAGAATCTTACAGAGTCTTATCAACCTGGGCTGGCTTTGAACTCTGATCCTCAGATCTTGGCCTCCTGTGTAGTTGGGATTACAGGCATTGGCCACCAGCGCCCAGCTATACTGTACTTTGGGGCACAAAACAATAATTTAATTGCCTGGAATGATACGATAATAATGGAGGTGTGTTATTAACACCAAAACATCCACATAAGAAAATAAAGCACAGAAATAAACTTTTACATATGCAGTCAAAAGGTAAATATTTATGAGACATTTATTGCTTTTTATTTCATTTAACTTCCTTAGGTAAGGATTTTCTCTATAAAAATTTCCATTCAATCATTCAAAACATATAGATTCCTTTTCATTTAATATTTCTTCTTCTTGGTCTAATGGTTGTGTATTTATTTCTTCTCCGTGATGGAGATGAGTATAGCTGATAAGATGCTACTGTTTTTGTGTAGTCCATGCTGCAAAAAAAAATGACCTCACTTTTTTGGGGGGAGGGAGGTCCCGTCATGGGGCCTGAACTCTGGGCCTGGGCGCTGTCCCTCAGCTCTTCAGCTCAAGGCTAGCGCTCTACCACTTGAGCCATTGCACCACTTCTGGCTTTTTTCTTTTTTTTTGCTTATGTGGTGCTGAGGAATCGAACCCAGGGCCTCATGCATGCAAGGCAAGCGCTCTACCACTGAGCCACCTTCCCAGCCCTTCACATTTTTTTCAAGTGAATAAGTGGCAACTGTTTGAGACTTACATCCTCCATGGAAAAACTCTCTTCTTGATCTGTTCATTTGCTCTAAGTATCATAGAAGATATCTGAGATATCTTTGAAATAGGTCTGGAGCTATGAAGGAAATAGGACAAAAGTCAGAGTAAATTAGAAAAGTAGGAAGTCGCGTCCTCTGCCATAGGACACAGTGCCGGCTGTATGGGACGTATCCACCTGTATCCCAATGTATGCCCATTGGGATCTCACTTGAACAAAAAGTGTTACCGCTCAGCATTGATCCTTCACTCACTCTCAGACTTGCCAAGAGTGCACCCTCTCCACCAGAGCCCAACACATGCTCTCCCAGCCTCGTTCCCTTGGAAAGCTGTGATACAAATCAACCCTTACTCCCTCCTGCACAATGATCCTAGAAAGTGAACATCTCAAGATATTCCCCCATGCCCAAACCCAAAACATGGGAGACACTAAAACCATGAGGCCCTCTGAGCGTTATTTCCTAGAGATCGAATAGTCTGCATGGAAAAATATGTGCTTTATAAACTGAGAGCTAGCACAGAAAGAATACTTTAACAATCTGTAGCCTCTTATCCTGAGTCTCTACCTCTCCTTAAAACCTTCCACAGAGCCCCCTTTACATCCTTGTTCCTCAGGGTATAAATCAGAGGATTGAGCATGGGGGTGATTATAGCATAGAAAAGAGCAACAAACTTCCCCTTGCTCTCGGAATAACTGCCCTTGGGTTGGAGGTAGGTGTAGATGGCCGAGCCATAAAACAGAGAAACCACCACAAGGTGAGACCCACAAGTTCCAAAAGCCTTTCTGCGTCCAGCCACCGTCTTGATCTTCAGCACGGCCCTGCCAATGCGTGCATAGGAGCCTAGAATGAGAGCTGCAGGAGCTGCAACAACTATGACTCGGGCCACAAACATCTTGGTCTCTGTTCCTCCTGTGTCCTCACAAGCCAGCTTTAGGAAGACGGGTATCTCACAGAAGAAGTGGTTCAGTTGATGGCCACAAAGAGGCATGACCATCATGAGGCTGGTCTGAATCACAGAGTTCAGGAAGCCTCCCACCCATGAAGCAATAGCCAGGACATGGCAGAGGACAGGGTGCATGATGGTCGTGTAGTGTAGCGGACGACACACGGCAGCATAGCGGTCAAAGGCCATCATCACCAAGAGCATGCTCTCAGTGGAACCCAGGGCAAGAAAAATGAAGAGCTGGGCCACGCAGCCACCATAGCTGATGGTCTGGTCCTGCCTCTGCAGGTTGATGAGAAGCTGGGGGACCGTGCTGGTGGTGTAGCAAAGATCCAGGAAGGAGAGGTGGGAGAGGAAGAAGTACATGGGCGTGCGCAGCCGAAGGTCCAGTCGTGATAGAACTATGATGGTGGTGTTGCCCAACAGAGTCAAGGAGTAGAAAATCACAATGTAGATAAAAAGAACGAATTCCAGTTGAGGCCAATCGGAGAAGCCCACCAAAACAAAGCCATCTCCAAAAGTGGTGTTGAACCTTCCCATAGCTTTTCACCTGTACAGATAGCACGGCACAATTTTATGCCATCTATAAAGAACAGGATTAAAAAAAATCATTCCAGGAATCACGCAGACTTCTGGCAGGCACAGTATTGGGCATTGAGTTCTCAAGGGAGAAGCTCTACCTCTCTAGTAATGGCTCTAGCAGTTTTTGCTTCCATTAATTATTGAGGTAGGTCCTCACCTTTGGCTCTAGCTAGCCTGGATCACATCCCCTCATTCCCTGATGTAGCTGAGTCGAGAGGAAGGTGCAAGTACATTCATTTACTCATTGTGGGGCTGGCTCTCAAAAACATTTTTTACCCTGACTTGAAATGCAATCCTACAACTAACTCTTCCTCTCTTCAGAGTAGCTAGGATTGTAGCTTAGGCACTTAAATTGTATTTGGATAATCACTTCTTTTCTGTCCAGTCTTCTATTTTTCTCTTTTATTCCTTAACTGGAAGCCTCTGGTTTAAGATTGAGGTCACTATTGTATTCGACCTGGAAAGGTCTAATAGCTGCATGTCTAGAACTTTATCTAGAACCCTCAATCCTGAGGATCTGATACTTCAGTGATGAAAATGAATGTCATGTATTTCTTCCCTTAGCATTGAGAGGAGGATCAAACCCAGTAATGCGGGAACTACTTTTTAAGAACTAACATGCATAAATTTGGTATTAGTGTTCTTTGATGTTGCCTTCTTACTTTTCTTCTTGGTCAACTGGAGAATTTATTTCGTTGTGGAATCCAGGCTACAGCAGGCCAAGGTCACAAGCTAGATGTCTGGTTGTTTGTCCACTTCCTTCTGCTAGATGTCTGGTTGTTTGTCCACTTCCTTCTGCTTGGGGCATGTGGTGAGGGCATCAGTTCCAGAAGCCTCACTCACATCAGTTTCCGTCTACCAAAAGGACTGAGAAGAGTACAGCTATATTACTCTGGAGAGGAAATCAGCCACAAATACACTCCTGACAATGTCTTAGGAGATTTCCCATTCCCCTACTTCTTCAATGACAAATCCCATGATTTGTCTCTCCTTTCTAGAGCCCTCATTGTAGTTTCTTTCTTGCTCTTGTTGGCTCGTTAAAATTCTCTTTACTTGGGTTCTGAGCCCCTCAGCTGTTGAAAAAGGATTAACTGGACACTGGTGGCTCATCCCTGTAATCCTAGCTATCCAGGAGGCAAAGATCTGAGGATCATGGTTCAAAGCCGGCCCAGGTAGGCAAGTCTATGAGACTCTTATTTCCAACAAACTACCCAGAAAGAAAGCTGGAAGTGGACCTGTGGCTCAAGTGGCAGAGTACTAGCCCTGAGCAAAAGAAGCTCAAAGATAGCACCCAGTCCCTTAGTTCAAACCCCAGGACAAGCAAACTCATACACAAAAAATACATTTTTGTTTATATAACTATATATGCAGATATATGTGAACAAATATTATCTTCTTCCTTTATGCTACTCTGAAACTGCTAAATTAATGTTACAGTCATCTATAGCAAACAGTAGCTGTTAAATAAATTTTGTTCAGTGAAACATTTTATATACTCATTTCACACCTCATAAAAATTTATTTTCTGGGGCTGGGAAGGTGGCTCAGTGGTGGAGCGCTTGCCTTCCATGCATGAGGCCTTGGGTTCAATTCCTCAGCACCACATAAGCAAAAAGAAAAAAGCTGGAAGTGGCATTGTGGCTCAAGTGGTAGAGCGCTAGCCTTGAGCTGAAGAGCTGAGGGACAGTGCCCAGGCCCAGAGTTCAGGCCCCACAACCGGACCCCCCCAAAAAAAAAATGAAAAAAAGAAAAAAGATTATTTTCTGTAAACTGCATTTTGAAAATGGGTTGGAGGGAGATATACCCCAGAGGAACACAAGAAAGATCCCAGAAATAAATTCTTGTAATTTTTCACAAAGGCACCGAGGATACAGCAAGGAGATATGATAGATTCTCCGGTGATGCTACAAATAAAATGGATGTCTGCATGCTAAAGTGTGACATCGGGCCTTACCTTATATAGAAAATACAGATTAAAGAAGGTCCTGTGATTTTCCACAACATGGGTGAAACTGAGGAGCATTGGACAAACGAAACTAGCCAGAAGCACAGAACAAAAAGTTATCGTCTCATTCATTCATATGTGCAATGTAAGAGACAAAATATGGCAAGTCTACAGCATTGAACAATAAAACAGGCTATCAGGAATGGGTACAGGACACAGTGTAGTAGTGTGGGTCGAAGAATCCAGAACAGAAGATATTTAAAATAAAAACTAGAGATCTAATTACATGGAAAGTCTAGGTATTCAGAATGCCAGGTGATTGAAGATTCCTCAACAGATTTTAGCTGCTGTTACCACAAAACATAGAAATGGAGTGAGTAGGGGGGATAGTGGATATGTCCAGTTGTTTCCTCATCTTCCCCTTCAAGACGGCTTTCCCATGTGCACCACAGCTAGACCCGCACCCCGGCCTTGTGCAAGCATCACCTAGCAAGGGACTAACTCAGACACAAAGAGTCTGAGAATTTTTTTAAAAAGTTTTTTTTTAGCTAATTAAGTTTTTTAGGGGAGAGTTGTTCATTTTCAGCACTGACTGTTGACCTTCTGGGACCAGATAATTCCTGTGTGTATGTCGGGGGTGGGGGGTGGGGGGGGATATCTTGTGCATGGAGATGTCGGCACACAATGTCGGCAGGGATTGCCAAATGTCCCCGAGTGGCTAACATCACCGCTGGCTGAGAATCACTGTCTTGGGTGAAGTGATGCGTCAGTGGGGCGTTGTACCTACCCATGGATAACTGACCACGTTTGTCGAGTTCACTGAGGGCAGAGCGGAGCCTCTCACAGTCACAATGACAGTTTTATCATCTAGAGCCAGGACTGGCACAAGTGCTTTCAGTGGTTCCCTGAGCCGCAGACACTCACCTGCTCCAGCTCTCTTCCAGGCCCCCAACCAGCATAAAGCCTTGACCCATCCTCGGCCTTATTAGAAAGCGGCGGTGAAGGTTGTTCTGCTTGGGATGTGGTGCCTTTTCTCTGAGATCTTGTACAGAAGAAGACAGGTCCAAATCTTTGTGCTCTGTAGGTTAGAGATTGTGCTGTGCTTCATATCCTACATTTTCTCTACTTTTAAATTAACTTTTAAACAATAAAAGTCCTGCCAAGTGCCACTGGCTTATGCCTGTAATCCTAGCTACTCAGGAAGCTGAGATCTGAGGATGGTGGTTTGAAGTCAACCTCGGCAGGAAAGTGTGTGTGACTTTTATCTTTAATTAACCAACAAAAAGCCAGAAGTGGAGCTATGACTCAAGTAGTAGAGCACCAGCTTTGAGCACAAAAGCTCAAGGATAGCACCCAGGCCGAGTTTAAGCCCCAGAACTGGCACTAAATAAATAAATACATACATACATGCCCTACTCCTAATTCTCTTAATAAGCACTAAATATTTTGTCATTTGCCAACTCAATATTGTTCCCTTCCCAAAGATAATTATCTGGGGTTCAGAAACCTGTCTGTGTATCTGTGTGTAAGTTCTCCATAAAACAAACAAAAGTTTGAAGTGCTTCAAATCAACTTTTCCAAATACTAGCCAAGCTCTCTAGCACTATAATAAAATTCTTGAAATTGGAAGTTATCCACTACGTTCTTCAAGCCAGTCTACTGATTTCAGCCTCACTCTCATAGAGCTACATTTAAGCTAGACATTTTCTTCTGTCTGAGCAAAGGAGGGTGCTGTACAAATCCCTTCAAAATCACTTTCATTAGTAGAACACGGATCCTTCCATTTGAATCAAGTTGGACTTTTTCCTGATATGTTTACTCATTAGTTTTCAGAAGACTGAACTCACAAACCCAAGTAAGCTCCAAATTGGCCTTTTGCCTATTCCCCGGACTCAACCATTCTCATATTCTAACCCCATCATTCTTATACTAGCATCACATAATATACACGCTATTCCATGAGTATTTTTGGTCATCTTCAAGACTCTTCTATTTTCATTTATTTTCAACAACTCTGACCCTGCCGATATTCTTTGTCTCTGTCTCTGATGAGAGCACATCTCCACCGTATCAGAACCGTAGGAAGTGAGTTGTTGAAGGGAATTGGAAGCCATATAATAGCCCACTCAGGTGTTACTCACCAGAGACTAGGGAAGAAAATAACTGTATTTACCTTCTCAACTCTGTTGACTTTAAGACAACATAAAACCCAGTGGACACTGGTCACATCTAGAGATGTCTGAGAAGGACCTCTTTGGTCCTAACCATCTATGCTGTGGAAGGGTGGGATCAGAGCTGTGGTTCAGAGAGGTATGGCTTCCTCTCCTCAGTAGGGGAGGCTTTGGAGGCCCTTGATGGAGGAGGATGGAGTGTCCATATCCTCATCTCTCCACCTCCACCCGCTCATCTAAACAACGCTGGCCAGGAAGTGGTGTGTCACGAAGCCACCTCCTGACCCTAAGGCTCAGCACACCACCCCTGCCCTTGGGACAGTGCCAAGGCCTCTTTAATTACAGGAAAGGCAGTGTGACCTTGGAGACCTGAGGGCCCAGTGTGACAATTAGAATCAACTCGCTGGCTCTCCAAGTCCACAGTTCTCTCCATTCCCCAAACTCTGTCCAACACTAAAAGCATTGTCAGTACACAGCGTTCCACTTGGCTCATGAAACTTACTCTTGAAATTCCTCCTACTTCCCTCCTTTGATCCTCATCTTCCAAATCCTCCCATCGGAATGAATTCCCTGACTTGCTTGATGGCTATCATGTTTACCACCATCCAAATGTCTTCCTGTTCTGGGCTCTTCATCTAATGCTAGTGCTCATATTCCCTCTCCTGTGCAGCATCAATCCCGCGAAATCTTTCTTTCCTTAATGAAAACTTCGAGGTTTTATAGCTCTCCAACACTCATACTTAATGAATCAATGCTGGGTTTTTGTAACTTGATTTTGTTTGTAATACACTTACACATTCATTCCATGATTACCAATTCATTCCATGATTACTTATGGAAGA